GGATTTCTAGCCTCTCATAATACGATAATCGGACGTGGTTTCATCAGTGGACAGCCAGCTGACTGGGTAGTCGGCCAAATTGATGAAGTTTACTTGTACACCGGAGTGTTAACAAGTGATAAAATTAGAGAGTTAGCTGGGTCTTCTTTGTCATACACCTTACAAGCCTACTATCCATTTGACAATACAGCTGATGATTTGTCGGGTAATGGACACAACGGTATTCTTAATGGAACAGTTTCCTACGGACCGCCAAAAGTCGGCACTGCGGCTCTTATGCTGAATGGTACTGGTTATATCACCATTCCAGGAGCAGTTGTCAAGACCAATGAAAGCTATTCAGTTGCTGCATGGGTTAGAATCTTCAAATTTAAAACAACGGATACCTATCAAACCTTCGTTACTATTGTTGGTGCACAAATTAGTGAATTTTTTCTCCAGTTGCGTGGTGACAACAGGCGTTTCTCGTTTGTTGAAGTTACTGCTGATCATGGTGGGGCTCCTGGTGCTGCAGCTACTGCTACGGCAATTACAGTGACTCCAAATGTTTGGTATCATTTAGTCGCTGTTTCCGATACGTCATTGCAGCAGATCCAAATCTATGCTAACGGGGAGCTGCAATCTACGGTAACATTTGCTGGCGGATTTCCAGCCTCTCATAATACGATAATCGGACGTAGTTTAGTTGCTGGAAACTTTGCTGACTGGGTATTCGGCCAAATTGATGAAGTTTACTTGTACACCGGAGTGTTAACAAGCGATAAAATTAAAGAGTTAGCCGCAATCTCTCAGGGTGAGCAACGCTAATTATACTTAACTAGTAATTCTGAATTTTGAAAGTTATTTTAATCATAACAAGAAAGTGAACGAAAAATGTATAAGTAATTGTGTTAGCTCGTGTATATATAGCAATGGTATACATAAAAGACTACTGATCTCTAGGTAAAGAGTATCTCGGCACGAGCTCTGTTTCTTTTTTTTCGATTTTTTTCATCCAGGTTGAAAATTCATTATATCTCTTTTTGTATCAAGTCATTCTTTCTTTTAAATAGCTAGGTGAATCGTGCGCTTAATCGCATGTTGTTTCTAGTTCCTATCTGTTTTATCAACCATAATTTCTTACTAGATGCATCGGGTATTGTTCCGTGTAATCGAATCAAACCCGATGTATCCAGCCAATCCGATATTTTACACTGTTTTGTCTAGATAGTTTGGCAGTAGCTAGTAAGAATACAGTCAAAACCTATCTCAGATTGAATAAGTCATTTTCTCACTATTTCATGCAAGTTGTGCAGAACCCAGGCATAAAAACCCCAAACGTCTGAAGATATGATACACAGTTTCTTACGAAATTTTAATCACTTT